TTTAGGTTATCTTTGGTTAACTTAGGTTATCTTAGTCTTTTTTGTTTGTGTTTCACAGAGGAATGAAAGTCATACAGGCTTCTGATGAAGGTTGGAAGTAGTGTAAATGACAGATTTTTTAATTAACTCTTTTCTCTTTCAGATTAGAGGTTTGTTCAAATCTCAAATCCCATGTATGCACATCAGTATTAGCAATGCTTACCGTAACAAATCCCACTAATTTTGGATATGTATGCATTTTTGAGTGAATATATAGACATACTCAGTAGATAAATCTCTTATTTTTGCTCTTGATACACTCACAGAAAGAAAAGAAGAGTGTTTGATATTGCATCAAATAAGTCTTGTCTGATGGGTTTTGGGGCAGGGAAGGGGGCCTGTGCATCCACAGTTTTTGCCAACATTACTAATCAGTTATTCTCAGCTTTTGGTCAAGCCGCTGCCTCGCTTGTCAATCAGGGTTAGCTGCAGGTGCAGAGGCAGGAGCTGTTTGGCCCACTACATTTGAATGTCGACATTTAAAATTCCACACTGCAAAATTGTGTACAAATTGGAGCTTGGCGGCCTAAATTTAGATGCAGCTGAATAGAGTGTCGCAAGTGCTCTGGATTCTGTCAGTCAAGGAAGTGTCGACTCCTCACGTTAAACGAGACCCGCCTAGTTGTCACCGTTTCCGACCGTCTTGGAATCGGTCTGTAAGCCTGTTTGCCTGGAGTGTGTGATTCGGTGGAAGGACAAGGAGACAGCAATCAGTGATGAATATGTGATTTGAGATGATGAAGAGGCCTGGGAGGGAGGAGGAGGAGAAGAAGAAGAAGGATGAGGAGGGGGGTCTCATTATCTCACTCTAATCAGGGGACATCCAGCCAGGCAAAGAGGACTGATTAAAAAAAGACTCCTTGTCACAACAAGAGCATCGTTTGGCTGGGGCTTAGGGGCTTATTGTGAGTGAGGACCAATGTTAGTCAACCCCAATCAACGGCAAGAGGCCACTACACAGTTCATCAGAGACCCAGAGTAAACAAATAAAAACGCAGCATGGGCCTCTCTGCAGACTGTTCGATCCCTGAGAGGAGAATCCTGGGAAGGGGAACTCTCTGCAGGAAGCATGACAGGTGTTTTAAGAGGAGCTTGATCACCCATCTCCGTTCCTCGGTTTCTGTTCTAAACTCCACGCAACCTCCATCAAGTCATCTGTCAAACGGCTCTCTCCCCCTCGCACCCCTCCTCTCTGTCGGAATATAGCTTGATTTGCAATGTCTGTATCCCTGCGATTGTCCTGCGCTCTGATAAGGATCCATGTTTTCAGGGAGGGTTTGGCTGTGCCACATCTAATGAAAGATCTTAATTAGATCCATTTGTGCCCAAAGGAGAGTAGATGCAATATTAAATTGTCACTCCTATCACATTCTTCCAATTTAGGCTGCAGGATACGTCTCGATCCATTTTATTTCGCGCAGATTAATGGTGAACTTTGCTGTCACTACTACCTCCTGCATTCCCCCTCTCATCTTCAACAGAGAGCGAGAGACTCTTTCCTCTGGAAGGAAAACATCTTCCTCTTTGCTATGTATTATAAAACATTAGAAAAATTCTAATTTGCTTCCCAATTCCTCTCTTTGTGGAGCACATAAAATTGTGTCGGTCTTTTTTCGAGTCCAAATTGAAGCCTTCCTGATAGCTCTTTTAAGTATCAGCTAAATTCAGACAAGCCTCGTTGTCCTTGAATGCATCTTTTTTTTATTGCCCATGGTAAATTTAACTTTGAAATATTTAAGTTAACTTTCTCAAGGCAAGGAGTAACAAAAATAACTTTATTTTATTATATTATACAATTTTTTTTTTTTTTTTTACGTAACGTGTGTGCACTGTGCATATTTATATATAAATACACACAAATGCATGAATATATTTAAGAAAAATTGTGTTTTTAGATGAATAATATTTATAATATCAATTATATTAATAGAAATAAACATACACCGTATACACATATTATGTAAACAAACTTTTATTTTGGATGATTAATCGCGATTGAAAGCACTAAACTTTATCATTTAATTTTTGTTATAATCACAATAAACTGCTAAATTTGCTGTACTATTATTTATTTGTCCATATTAGCAATTTAATCCATGTAAACCTTTTTTGAAAATTCCAATATACTGTTGCATTAGTCTGCAAACATCTAGCGGAGGCTCACGTAGTCATCACCTCTGATCGCCTGCACTTGTCTCCACACTGGAAGAAACCTGCAGCACGACTTGCATCTAGAAACATTCTGGCAGCTGACATTCCCCCTCACTAGAGGAAGGCAAGAAATGTTCTCTAGGCATGCCGAGTCGCATCAAGCAATGCTGGTGGAAGATGACAGGGCCTGAAACAGCAACATCAGCAGCCGACTAAGAGCAACAAACTCAGCTGCTCTGCATAAATTTTATACACGCAGTATCTCCAAACACACTGCTTATACTCTATCACACCTAGTGCCGCTGCATTCTTATATCTCAGCTCTCCTGCAAGACGTGCTCTTTCATATTCATAGATTTTCACAGTTGAATTTTTAAGGTCCTGCGATAGCAAAAGTTTCTCCGATATGTCATCACTTCGCCAGACGTTTTCCCATCTCTCCGCAAGGTCCATTTCTTTCCATTTTTTCCCTAGAATATACTCGCACCTCATTACTTTTTTTTTCACCGTTCTAATTTGTCTGAAACATCTTTTCTCATCTCATATATGTTGATGCCCCCCCACTCCATAATGTCTGACAAAGAGTGTTTTCAAATTTGCAAGTGTAATGAGAGGCTGCGGATGGAGGTGTGAGAGTTGAAGCTGCAAATCCCTCAACAGCGAGTGCAAAGTTGGGGGAACGTTCCTCTCACTGGAACATGCGGTTCAGGGTGAGCCGAAGATATTTGTACCCGACATCTCTTAGTTTATACCCGTTGAGGTTAGCTTGGTACCTCTCCCTCATGACTTGCACAATATTCCCATGAATACCTTACAATACTGTGTTCGGAAAGCTGCTATGTCAACAGCAGCAAAGAGAAACAAGGACAAGCTAGAGACACTCATGAAGGACAAGTCCCATAATAAAGGGTTGTCTGGCAGGCTATCTGCTTTTTCTATCTAAGCGGAGGCTAATCAAATTGCACGTTTGGTAGCCTGTTGTCTGTTTTTAACGATAATTTCTTTCAAGCCTTCAGGGTCACGAAACCAAAAAAATCAAAACAGCGCAACGGACATGCTTCCTGTCATCGTCTTGGTCATTATTGCATCCAAGCCAGCACTCTGAATTCTAATGGGTTAGCCGAGCTAGCAGCACAACGTGTTTGTGAAGCATATCTGCTCGTCTAATCCCAAGAGAGGTGTGCGAGAGAGGGAGCACGGAAAGAGCAAAGGCCTGCTGTTGTCTCTTGTCACCATGGAGAGAAATGGACAGAGTAATTGTGTTGTTCCAGAGCCTGAGGAATCCCATCAGCCAGGAGCTGGTGCTGTCAGAGGACATAAAGATGCCACTAAAAACTTAACTCTCCACTGACACGTTGGGTGGCTCGGGCCTGCACAAAACGACAGGGGAAAAGACAGACAGATTAACCATGGTGGGGTGCAGATGAGAGCAAAAGTGCTTCGGAGAGGGTTTGGGAAACAGCCAGCTGAGATGAGGGTTGAGTGTGTCTGTTGCCAAGATTGTGTATGATGGATGTGAAAGAAGTCGAAATAAATGCTCAGGGTTGCTTAATTCTTTCGCCGTCTACTCCACTCTGGGACATACCGGGGGTTTGCTAAATGAAGCTTATTTTCTCTCATTGTCAGTAAGTGCATCTTTTTTGGCTATTTTTATAGATTGAGGCATTAAGGAAATTAGTTAATCTCTGCTGGAAAAACAAGGTGATGCTTACTTCAGATAGTTTTGAAACATTTTAGCTGGTTTTTGGCTAAAATATATATATATATATATATATATATTCATCCTATATCTACATTCAAAACGTTGGTCAGATTTGAACCTTTGTCTCCAGCATGAGCTCCATAACATGTAGGGATCACCTGCTGCATCACAGCTCTGACAATAAGTACACATTTAATAGAAATCCACACGGGTCTAACAGAAGCGGGAATTTGACAACTTTCTTCTCTTTGTTAACTTCAGAAAGGGCTTAACATTGCCTGAGGAGCTCTCTTGTTAGCCGTTATCATTGCCCTATATGATAGGTGGGCTATTTGATCTCAGTGCACCAGCTCTCTGCACAATTAATGTTGCTGCATGAAGAGAAGTCGGGTTTCGGCGCTCCATACATCTCTCCAGCAGGGAGAGTTAATTGTGTTTTGAAAAATGGGCCTGGTTGCATGACTGCGACCTCTACTATTGTCTGTTCTCACCGGTTTGAGATCCCGCCCGGCTCTGAGACTTCCAACTTTCTGACACCGTTTGTTTGTAACTCAATTAGAGTGTAAAGATCTATTCCGTGCAGCACACTCGGCATGCTTTTTCCGAGAACTGTCCTCTGAAACACTCCTATTCCAATTTTCTTAAATGGACTGGGGGATTGCGTGTTGGGTCTTCGCAACACAAGAAAAACACCATTCGCAGCTAAGGTGTTTGCGTTAGTGTGAAACCAAAAAGTGTCAAGTCTGTAATGTTGCAAAAGAAAGGACAGGTAACGCAAGCAACGTCAGGCATCACAAGCTAGGTGTTACCCGGTCCCCAAGCATACTCTAGCACACTCAACAACTCACACAATACCTCCTCTTCAATCTCCCTGTGGGACACAAAACCCACAACCGGTCATCTCCCAATTCCCTCTTTTCCAGTTCTGAGCTTCCTCTTTGTCTCCTGTACGTTTGAAGTCCTCTGAAGTGCTTTCACATAGGCCTGATTTCACATTTTACACTGTGGAAGCTTCCGTCACGAAAACAAATTCCTCGTATGTGTAAACATACCTGGCAATAAAGCTCATTCTGATTCTGATCTCTTGTTTTCTTCTCTTCTCTTCCAGATGGTCACAAGAACAAAGAAAATATTTGTAGGCGGATTATCAGCTAACACAGTAGTTGAAGATGTGAAGCAGTATTTTGAACAGTTTGGCAAGGTAAGATCTCATTTTCCTTTTTCCCTTTGGCTAATTTCATGGAGAGATGTTTGCATATGATGAGAAACGCTGTCCCTCAAGGGACCCTTTCAAGACTTTCAAACAGGCCGTTTGAGATGTGGCCATTTGGAGATGAAAGACCAGTGTTTGCTTGGTCTCTGTCATCCACTGGATGTAGTAGCCAGGACCTTTTGCTTAAAGCTGCCGTGTGTAATCGGTCTGAACATTTACTTAACCAATGATGTGTTCATTTCTGACTTTATGGATAGATATTAATACAGATTTCCCAATTTTATTCTTATTAGAGATGCACCGATTGCAATTTCCGATTTTTTTGTTAGTGTGATCTGCCGATACCGATTTTTGCCAATTCCGATTTTCTTTCTAAGAACTATAATTGACAGCAATATACAAACAAAAATCTACTTTTCTTCAACACAAAGTTTTATTTTCATAAAAAAATAAGTAAAAAGTCAGTAAAAAAATAAGAACACAAAAAATGGCAAACAACAGCACAAATAAATGCAATAGAATAAAGAGTTTTTCAGGTTAAGTAAGTTTTTATTCAGGTAAGAAATACTACAGAAATTAAAGTAATCAAATGTAAAATAATACATCCAGTGTTATTTTACATTTGCTTACTTTAATTTCTGTAGTCTTCATTGTAAAAATTAAATACAGATTAATGCTTACCATTAAAGTTATAAAACATATTCAGTCAAGAGCAGAAAGTGATTTTCTTTAAACGGAGTTCACTTCAACAAAATCAAAAGATAAGCGCTGCATTTTATTTATCATCAGCTCATTTCAAGATCAAAGACCGCAATAGGAGAGCGCGCAGGATCAGCACTGGAAAGATAAGTTTGTCTTACTACTTTTAATGAAGATGATTGTGTGTTGACCATCTGCGTCTTACTTTCAGTTTCATTTGTGGCAGTTTGCACGTCGGCTTGCTCCGCTATTCGTCCGCAGCGATGCGTGTTGCATTAGCGCAGTCTGACTAATGTTATATAGCCTATAACACGCTCTCACACGTTTATTATTTTATCATTTTGGGAGAAGTAAAATTTACATATGTGGTTTCAACAACCAGATGCATTTACACTTGTCGAGTTTAGTCTGGAATGCGGCCCAGACCACCTCCTGAAGTGGTTTGAGCGATCGAATTTATATCCGTCTCGAATGCGTTTCGGAGGGCATTTACACCTGGTCTTTTCACGATCGGATAGCCATCCGATCAGAAAAAAACGCATGAAGTGACCAGGTGTAAACAGGCCCATGTTACACAACATGCGTTCTCTTTCTCAACTATTTAACGTTCCAAAACTGACTGTGTTTAACTGGATACTCGCCAAGATGGGCATTTTGACATAATTTTGTATGTATTTGAACGTTTTATCGCAGTTAGCCACTAATTTTGGTATTTGTGGCTCACAAGCTGTTTGAGACTGAGCTTGTGCGCTCCACTAATATTGATCATTTCTGATGCGCGCGTTTTTGGTGTAAGCGTGATACTTGCGGGAATGACTAAAATAATGTGCAATACAAGCATTTAACCGGAGCGAATGAGACGTGTGTGTGTGAGAGAGAAGGGGTCGTCGGAGAGAAGAGAGCACGAATGCGCGGCTGACGTTATTTCCTGTGCCGCTGGTAACAAAACGGATCGGCTCGGAATCAGAAAGAAGTGAGATCATGAGGAAAATTGACCGATTCCGATCCCTGGCCGATCGATTGGTGCATCTCTAATTCTTATACATACGCTTTTGATTTGATTCCCATTTTAATTCAATTTGATTTGATTCATTTGGGTATATTTTTGCCCATTTAGCTAACATATTCTTCAATATAGAAATAACATCTCTTTCTACTAATGCTGTAATTTATACAGGGCAGTAGGGCCTATTTCAGACTGATTCAAATCGATAACATCTTTTTAAATGAGAAGAACCGACTCATAAGAGTCATTTGTTTTGGGAATCAAGCTACATTGTTCATGTTGTATGGTTTTGAGTCACTAAAAATAACTGAATTACAAGAGTAATTTGTTATTATCGTGTATAAACTGAGTACAGGCATAAAGTAAAAGACTGATTTTGGGCTTTTATGAGTCAGTATCTGAAATTCTAAATTTTTATCTTACATGTTTTGTAAACCTGATATCTACCATACACATGCAGAAGATTGATAGTCAACCTGTATATTTGTATGGCCCAGGTGAACTTTTCTGTTTGCTGTGTGATATGACTTTGAGTAAGTTCGATGTCTCTCTGTTTCAGACTCTGTATAAATACCTAGCTCCATTTGTTTGTAATCAGCGGTGTCTGAGTGGACCTAACACACACTTGACTTGATTGAAGGGCTCAATTATGCAGATGTTTTACTTGCCCTGTGCTGTACGTCTTGCCCTGGGGGTGTTTTCACCAGCGCCAGCGCTGGCAGTAGACAACCGCTAAATCATTGTGATTAAAGGAACAGTGGAGGATTTGTAGCTTCTTAGGTCACAAGACTATATTAGTCTTACCACAGCCTGGTTTATTGAGCCGTACTTGTCTGCCGTCCTTACGTAAAGCTGTAGATCGTTATTTTGAATGGGCAGCGTGATCCAATAACGCTAAAGACCTCAGCGCTCAGTGTCTCGTTGTTTATAAGTTGCGAAGCAAACACGCAGTCTAATGAAATGTTTGTCTCTTAAGGCAAGAAAATTACAAATTGACCGTCCGTTGAATGCACACTTGTGAGTAAAGATGAAACAAGCCTTCAAAGTGAGTTGTCAGAAGGTTGGATTTGCTGCAAACTCTTGATGACTCTGCAAGTTTGCCCACCTGGAGGTTTTGCCACACTGTGGTGTCAGTTGAGCTGATACCTGGAGGTTTGTGTGTGTGGGGGCATGTGTGTAGGCCAATTAACAGTGTCTCCTGGCGAGCAGTGGGTAGTGAGAGAACGAGGATCCTGGGAGGAGAGCAGGTGGCATGGGGCAGCAGGGTCATAAGATCTGTCTCCTTAGAAGCTGTTCTTCCTGAGCACTTTTTCTGTGCTATGACAGCTTGCACACTCACATGCGCGCGCACACACACACACACACACTTAAGCAGCACTAAGGGGCATTTATTGCGCAACACTGCAGAATTAAGATTTTAAAAGCTTTTCCACAAAGGCTCTTTGAGTTAGATCCACTTTTCATTAGCATACAGTTATTTCTTGCTAATGTGGCATGTTGCCTTTTTACTTTTAGAAGAAGGCATGCCTAAATCATTTCACTTGTTTCCTCTGAAACAATTTATGTGTGTATAGACAACAGACTTGGCATGGTTTGATTATAAATCTTGGCAAGATATTTTGTACATTCTACATGATGAGAACATAAAAGGCTGCCTCGCTCCCCTCATAAACCTTCATTTGTCCTAATTACATAGGGTGGTTTATGCTTAGTCATAGGTTTATTGTAATCAGCTTGGAGTAGATCTCCAAACAAAGTGCACTTATTCTGCTAAGTTGAAACAACTCCTGTTTACTTCATTACCACCCTCCCCACTCCCTCTCTCTCTACCTCTCTCACTTTAGTGTTCGCTGTGCTGCTGTGGCCAGGCTTTAGTTTCATTAGGCCTGAGAGCTGTTTCCAAGCCAGTGCTCTGCCACAATCAGGCCTTTATGCCTCCTCTGTCCTGGTTCCCATATCGGCCTGGGTGTGAGCCAACTTCTACCATTTCAGGGGCAAAGCTTTAACCTCCTGCAGCCTAAATAGACAGTTTGTCCAGCACGTGTAATATACAATGTAATTGAATGTAAAATAATATTCATTAATACTAGTTTTCTAAGCCCACATGGCCTTGGTTACATCAACAGGAAAGATATTTTGTATTAGAAGCCGAGAAAATTATCACATTTTGATTTAAAGTAGTTATTAATAGTAAGACAGGGAAATTTATTTAGAATGTAAATAAGGTCAATTTTGGTTTCATGTTGTTTAAAAGCGAGGCATCCAACAGAAAATCATCTGGTTGATTTTGAAAATCAATGTTCATTCTTCACAAAGCATAATTTTCTCCACAGAGCATCTTGCTCTCTATTCTTGATATAGAGTATGTTCTCATTTTCTCTGTGGTTAGGGCTGTCGCGGTGAGGGATTTCCCTTGTGGTAATTTTGAGATGCTCAATAGCGCGGTATTATCGCCATGCATATACATATATATATACATATATATATATATATATATATATATGTGTATATACATATATATGTGTATATATACATATATATATATATATATATAAGTATTCAGACCCCCTTACATTTTTCACTCTTTGTTATATACTTTAGAAGGCTCAGCTGACCAGATATGCATCGATGCTAAGACAGAGATTTCGCTTTCCTTGGACATGACAACCTATTTTCACAAATGTATATGACTCGGCCTGGAGGACAAACGCAAGTAATCGCACGCGCTCAGTCGATCTCTCTCTGATTCACTGTCTGTTTAGGCTTGTTAAGTGCAAATCTACGGAGCCTCTGTACAAATCAGCATGGTACACATTGTTATCATTACTTTCTTGTTTAATATTCAGTCCACATGCATGAAGTGTAAAAGGAGAAGGGTATAATCTTACAAAAAAAGACAACACGCAAAAATCGCGGTTGCTGCGGTTCTTGCGTTCCTCTGCGGTTTGCTCGTCAATAGCGCGGTATTGCGATATTGCGGTTATCGCGACAGCCCTATCTGTGGTAGTTTTGACTCATGACTCACTGACCAGCCCACATTGAAGGCTGGATGAACTAAACCGTAATCATCAGTTTGGTGATAGACTGTGTATTGTCATGTTTCTGTAATGAAATGTCACAATTTTGTCTTTCTCTTAGCTTCAATATTCAGTGAGGACAGTGGGCTGCCTGTAATGACTGCATCCCGAACACTCACTGTTAGTTAATTTAGCATACCTGGTGAACCGCTAACATTTAATAACGGCATTCGATTTACCTCAGGCTCGGGTAATAAAAACAGTGC